AGTAAATATCAATTTCTGTTGATGTTATTTCCAAATCAGTTTACTCGGACATTTTGCGCGTTTTGCAAATGGGCTCCTCTAGGTAAAATTTACCAAATTCGGAAAAACATGTTTTAGACTGATAAAGTTTAAATAATTCAAATACAACATGATAAAAGAGCATTTAAATTTAGTTAGTCACAAGTTGTGGTTTGGAAAATAGCAAAAAACTACAGAAAAAAAGATCGCTTGATTATGAGAAAAGTAATAAAGAATTGTTGGCTCTCATTTAGTTTAATTATTAAAAGTATAAATCCTGAAAAGTTATGTACTAATACAATGGTTGCGCGAAAAAAGGTAGGTAAGAGTTTATTTAGGGTGGAAAACAAAAATACTTATAATAAACGAGAAAAATCCTGATAAGAAACTAAAACAGTGACAAGATCACATAAGTTTAACCTTAGGTCAATTTTAACCTGGCTTATTGACAGGTGAGTCACCTTATGTGCAGCAATATGGTAATTAAGATAGCGAACCATAAGTTCAAGAGAGTACACATGTAATTGAAAAATATAACAAAAATCATGGTTTATAAAATAAAATCATGGCTCATAAAATAAAAATCACGGTGTTGAGGTGCATTTACAGCTCATAGATTAAGAAACCTTTACAAAGTTGATGGAGTTATGGATCAACATAAGTGTCATTATGTTTTAGTTAAACAATCAAAACAAAGAATAAAATATCTATTTTTGGATGAATATGGACTGATATGGATAAATATGAATACAAAAATAAACTAGACGTTAAATTGACCTTAACAAAACACAATGACCTTATGCATACAGCAAAAATAAAAGATAAATACAAAATGCTGTAATACCTATTTTTGAGAAATCGGAACAGTCACCTGCATATAATTCAATTGACAAATTGCTGTTTATATTAGATGCTAACATCTAAGACGCTTGAAATCAGCTTGTTAGTAAAACTAGTTTTAGGCATGCACGACAGATGCCAATTATTTATCGATGTAAAAGATCACGCAACTGATAAAAGAAAAATATAATACTGAAATATTATCTAAATTTTTATTTAGTTATTACGATATAATAGTGAATTTATTAAATATTCTGTATTAAACAATAAATTCGTTCAAAGTTAGGAACAATCAATTGTGTTGATTTTACGTTTTTAAACTAAATTTGATCTTTTTTGTTGTATTTTACCGATTATGTAGTTTTGTTTCGCATACAAGAGCTTTATTTTAATTTTTTTTTAGTTTTAATGCCAATATTGCGTAATTTAAGTTTATACTTGACATATTTGTTACAAAAATAAAAATAACTAAGAAATTTATTTATGCGATATAAATATATATATATATATATTTATATATATATATATATATATATATATATTATATATATTATATATATATATATATATATATTATATAAAGCTATCTTTACAAAAATTCATATAAAAGTCTTGATATAATTGTAAACAAAATGTTTACATTTACATCAAGCTCATGTTAGCTTGACTTAAAACAAAAATCAAAAGCAAAAAGTTATTTAATGTCAAAGCAGTTAAATTAATGCAAAAGTACATTAAACTTTATTGTTTTTTGAAAAAATTTTAAAAAACCGCAATAATAACGACTAGAAAGTTTTTTTTATTTAGTGGTGCTTTTGTTTTTGTTTTATTAAAAAACATTTTAAAAAAACATGCGTAAATATTGCTACATCGACTATCTTATAGCCTGCTGCTACAAGGGAGTGTTTCTACATTGACTATCTTGTAGCCTGACTCGAAACGGAGTGCTGCTACATCGACTGACAAATAGCCTGACTCGCAAGGGAATTCTGCTACATCGACTGACAAATAGGCTGACTCGCAAGGGAGTGCTGCTATAACGACTGACAAATAGCCTGACTCGCAAGGGAGTGCTGCTACATCGACTGAGGGTTTGATTTGGGCAGGCAGTCTATCATTAAAAAAAAAAAATTTCAACTTTTTCTGGTCTGGTTTATAAACGCGCACTTTTTCTACCATGCAAGAGTATATATTTATATTTATATATATATATAAATAATATATATATATAATATATATATATATATATATATATATATATATATATATATATATATATATATATATATACATTTTCGGAAATCATCAGCAATATATTTAATGACAATTATGCTTGCTGATGATTCTAACCTATTTCTTTCTCATAATAACATTATTACAGTTTTTAGCAATGCGAAAATTAAACTAGTCAAAATTTCCGAATGGTTTAGATTAAACACACTCTCACTAAATATTGATAAACTAAGTGGATTCTTTTTCATCCTTATTGTAAAAAGCACCAGCTGTCTAGCAACTTGCCTTTTCTATTTATCTATAACATAGTTATTAATAGAGTTTTAGTGACAAAATTTTTAGGTTTATATATCGATGAAAATCTTACATGGAAATGCCACATTGCTAACTTGTGCAGTACATTTTCAAA